ACCAGTTTTATAGATGAAGAAACAGGCTCAAAGCTAAGAAGTCACTTGGGTAAAATCACTACTGCGTGGTGAAGGGAACACAGTGAGATCCTACCATTTTAGCCCAGCTCAAAAAAACCGTTCTAGTAAGTCATGTGTTTTCAAACCTCTGCCCAGCTCTGAGCCTAGTGCATACATCAGGCCTAGTAAATGTTCACTGATTGAACAAGGCTGTCCCCCAGGCTTTCCGACCCTCAGGCCACCACCCACCACCTCCCACCATTGCCTGGCTCATTTCATTTCTGCTCTCTCAAGTGTGCTTATGGCCACAAAATGTCCTACAAATTTGATTTCTGCATTGCCATAGGATTATATCAAAGGCAATACCTTTTTATTTTTAAAAGGGAATTAATTGCTTTGAAAGGAACAAAATTAACAGTGAAAACATTGTGGTTATGATGCTGAGAGGACCATACAAATAAGGCACTTTGAAGTAAAAATTTTAAGTAATCATGTAGGTATAAAGGACAATGTGTTTCTACTGAAGCACTGTCTTTCGAAATGTAGGTGACAGCTAAAGCCATAAAGTTATCTAAATCAGAGAGACTCGATGGTTTTTTGTGTAAATTTTGTTGTTGTTTTATTGAGTTAACCTTGCTAACTCCCCAACAGCTGGCATTCAGGTACAGCACACCCTAGTAGCCCTCATTTGAAGAAAAGCATATCTCAAACCAACCAAAAAAATAAGTCCATTTTCCTTCTAAAACTCAGCCTTCTTTAGGGCCAGTTCCAACAACATTTCTAGAATGTAAGGAGAGTGCCTTTGTATAAAATAACAGATGGCTGCATTTAAGAACCGCTAAAGTCTCAGGATTTCACCGTGGATGCTGCTCAAAGCCTGTGGGCAGAGGTCACCTCCCAGCATGTTTGTGAAATAACAGACCAAGTTTATCTTCATACTGTCAGCCTCCTGAGCCCACCATCTCTAGGGGACACTTAGTTGTTTTGATTTTTAAATTACATCATCTAATTCTTTACAAGTAATGTTTAAAATTGTTTTCTACAAATGGGATATCTACAGTAAGGCTTATGTTAGACCTAAAAAACAGAAAGTCAGGGCCATGTGATATTTGTGAACACCACTGGGCTAGCCCACAAAATTAGCTGGGGCTAATATTGTTGCTGTGATTAAGCATCAAATTTGTGATTTTTTGTTATGCAGAGCAAAAGGTAAATATGATCCTATATAATAAAGAGGTAATATGCAAATTAACCATCACACCCCCACACAAGATGGCCACCCCCATGTGGTCACAAGATGGCCACCACAAGAGGGCTGGCAGGGGAGGGCAGCTGTGGGCTATCAAGCCAGCAAGGGAGGACAGTTGGGGGGGACCAGGCCTGCAGAGGAGGGCAGTTTTGGGGGACCAGGCCTGAAGGGGAGGTCAGTTGGGGACGACCAGGCTGACAGGGGAGGGCAGTTAGGCATCTATCAGGCTGGCAGGGGAGTGGTTAGGGGGTGATCAGGCTGGCAGGCAGAAGTGGTTAGGGACAATCATGCAAGCAGGCAGGCGAGCAGTTGGGAGCCAGCAGTCCCAGATTGTGAAAGGGATGTCTGACTGCCCCCAAGGGGTCCCAGATTGGAGAGGGTGCAGGCTGGGCTGAGGGACAACTCCCTCCCCCAGTGCACGAATTTCATGCACCGGGCCTCTAGTAAATTATAAAGCTCTCATTATCAGCAAGGAGGAGGCACAACCTGTCCCTCAAGAATGGCAGCATCTCCTGGCTCTGCATTTTCAAAAATGATTTACATCTGGCTTTCAATAGGAGTCCTTTGGCCGACATGATGGTCAGTGTTCTCTTACACCTGATAAAAGCCCTAACCTGTCAAAACTTCACAAAGCAGTGCAGTTGAACAGAAAGAGCACTAGTCATCAAGGTATGAACTGTGGGCCATGGGCAGCTAATTGCCCCTAAGGGATCTGCCTATTGATCTTAGGTTCACATTTATATAATGAATGGGCATACACTTGGAGATATTTCTGGTGCCTCCCTTAATATGATCAGAAAACTTCCATCCATGGAGCCCTTCTGTATGCCAACCATTGGGCTACATACTATAAACACCGCACCTCTAAGACTCACAACAACCTGGTCAGTTGGTTTTATTACACCCATTGTAGAGGTGAGGGAAAGGAAGTTCAGAGAATTTAAGCTACTTGCCCAAAGTCTCCCAAGACACGGCAGATGCATGTGAGACCCAGTCCATCTGCCGAGGCCTGGCCTCTTTCCTTCTGCTTTAAGTGGGCTCAGTCCAGGGAGCGAATCCTTTCACCTACTCCATGCTTTTCCCACCAGGAGGTGTGGTCGAAGCATACCCACCTGTGGAAAGTGTCACCAACCTGACGGTGGACATGCTCATAGAGCCCAACGGAGAAATCAGAGTGCTGTCCACGGGGGACCAGTTGCATGCAGAGGGCCCCTTCATCTCCTCTGGTACCACCATGCCTCAGGCCTCAGTGAATTCCCAAGTTCTTATTTCTTTGTGCCTCCAAATTGGAAAAGCTTGTAAACTGAGAAATGTGGTCGGTTACTTTTCTATAGACCTGGTGACCTTTATTGACCCAAGCACCATGGAACAGCAGGTAAGTCGACTTGATGCCACATGAACTTCTAAAATATGTAGACTCCACACTGTTTCAGTGGTTCTCAACCTTCCTAATGCCACAACCCTTTAATACAGTTCCTCATGTTGTGGTGACCCCCAACCATAAAATTATTTTCGTTGCTACTTCATAACTGTAATTTTGCTACTGTTATGAATCGTATTGTAAATATCTGATATGCAGGATGTATTTTCATTGTTCGAGACCCACAGGTTGAGAACCACTGGTTTACACCCATGCAACCGGGCATGGAAGGGAGCTTCTAAGATTCACTGCTCACCGGCTGAGCTGACTGTAATTCAGCACCCACATGGTCTGTGCCAATCCATGTGAGACCGGGCTTTATGTCTGGAAATACAGGGTCTTCTCATTTGGGTATGGTTGGAGTTTAAATGACCACAGCTCATGCCACATAGCTCTGTTGATGGGGCCTTAATTCTCTGTGTCTTTTCATGAGTTTATTTTATGCCATATAGGGATTGAACCTGTCTAGAACCTGTTTTTAAATTGAATGTTGATCATCAGAAGGGAGTTGAGTCTTTGTGTCTGTTCCTTTCCTTAGTAATTCAGCAGAAACTTAGGTTGTCAATTTTTTTCTTCTAAAAAAATGTGTTAAAAATATTTTATAAATATAAAAAGGTTTACATAATAATATAATTAATAGTATATGTCCTGACCCAGCTTAAGAAATAAAATGGTGCCAATACCACTCCAGTCCTATGTACTCCTTGCCAGTCCTCCTCGTGTGGCCCTTCCTCTTCCCAGAGGTGGCCACTGTCTCACATTTGGGACTTTGATTCCTTTCAACATCTGTATGCTTTTGCTGCACATTGATTACCAATATATAGTATATAGTTGCACAACTTTTTATAGATCAGAACATCCTTTTTTTCTCTACTCATCTACTGATGGGCACTTGGGCTGCTTCCAAATCTTGGCTATTGTAAATAACGCTGCAATGAACATAGGGGTGCATGTATTCTTTCAAAGTAGTGTTTTGGGTTTCTTCAGATAAATCCCCAGAAGTAGAATAGCTGGGTCATAAGTCAGTTCCATTTTTAACTTTTTGAGGTGACTCCACACTGCTTTCCACAGTGGGTGCACCAGTCTGCATTCCCACCAACAGTGCACAAAGGTTCCCTTTCTTCAACATCCTTGCCAACACTTGTTGTTTATTGATTTATTGATAATAGCCAATCTGACAGGTATGAGGTGACATCTCATTGTGGTTTTAATTTGCATTTCTCTGATGATTAATGACATTAAACAACTTTTTATAGTTCTCTTGGCTATCCGTATGTCCTCTTTGGAGAAGTGTCTATTCAGGTCCTTTGCCCATTACTTAATTGGATTGTTTGGGGGTTTTTGGTATTGAGTTGTATAAGTTCTTCATAAATTTTGGATATTAACCCATTATCAGATGTATCATTGGTGAATATGTTCTCCTATTCAATGGGTTGTCTTTCATTTTGTTGATGGTTTCCATTGCTGTGCAACAACTTTTTAGTTTGATGTAGTCCCATTGTAATTTTTTATTTCCATACTTCGTTCTACATTTATTCATTGGCAATCTACTGCACAGAAGAGCTTTTTCTTCTCCATCTTTCATTTATGTATGTGTACATGTGTATATGTAAGTATGCATGGATTGTGTATATGTGTATGCATGTATGTATTTATAACAGTTGGAACTCATGAGTTTCTACTCTCTTTAGTCAACTACATTATGTACTTTCATCATTTTGAGGTTCAAATTGTCCCAGATTTGGCTAGAGGGAGACCCTTCAGGGTGGCTCTTGTGTTCCTTTGGTGTGTTCCCATTATTCTTTGAGCATTGTCTTACTTTCTAACACAATGGGATGTTTTAGGTTTATCGTCCACTTTCCCTGACCCAGACCTAGGATCAGCCTAAGAGCCTTGGATCCTTCTAGTGGAAGACAGTATTAAGATCTGAGCTCTCAGCGCTCTCATTGCTACTGGAGTGTCATTGCTTCCACTCTCTTTCAGTGGACAAGGCAAGAAATAGATAATATATGCTCAATATGCACACAGACATAGATATATTTATGCTTCTATGACTGTTTCTATATCTATCAATGTATATATTTTTCTATTTATTTCATCCTTTGCTTTTATTATTCTAGTTGTTACCTAACGTCATAGCTTTAAAATTGTGCTGATCTCAATTTGACAAGCCTCTATTAGTGCATATATTTTCAGACCACGCATTCCTGCCAATATCTCTAATTCCAATCTAACACCTCAAGATTCTAGACTTCCCCTTTTCCATACTTAAAAATAAATACCTTTTTCAAAAGTGATAAACCTTAGTCTCTTTTTTCTCAATACATTTGCTTATTTGCTCAATCAGTGTATTTATTTGTTCAATGTAAACAACTAATCTCCCAACCGATCCTGCTGTCTTCTTCACCTGCCACAAATGGGCCCCACCTGCTTGGATACTGAACTCTGTCATTTGCATTTGAAGTTTATTTGTAACGTTCCTTCTCATAGTAAAGTTTCAAATAGTCAGCTCTAGTTTTTTTTCTAAAGTACTGTATTACCTTGAGCTTCTCTCTTTCTCTCACCTTCAGTTTTCTCTGCTGTGAAATGAGTAGGTGAGCTTATTTGACTTCTGAAGAACCTTCCAGTTCAAAAATTATTTATCCCAATAGTATTTTCATAGTACTTATTTTTTTACATTCAAAATTTAATAATAGTTAGAGTCTACTTTTTAGAAATATCACAAAAAATAATCACTAAGATTTATGTACACAAATGTTAATCACAGCATTATCAAGAATAGTAAAAATTTCCAAATACTCCAAATTCCAGTAATAGAGAATTTGTTAAGCAAATTATGATAGATCAATAGAATTGAATGCTATAAAAACAGTAAAACTCGAGTTTTTAAAGAATAACTAACAGGAAACTGTTTATGGAATATTGAAAGGGTAAAACAGATTACAAAACAATATATAAAATTGTAACTATAATGTGTGTCCCCCAAAAAATGTATACACACTGTATGTACATGTATATTATACACAGCTGATAGCTCAATTTTCTAAATAAAATGTATTTAATAAGCCTTGCCTTTATAATTACTCTAAGTATGTGTATACATTTTTTGAGGCACTAAATATATACATATATATAATTTTATAAAAAGAAAAATAAATGTATGCAGAGCACAAAGAAATAAGAGCTGTTACAAATGATTATTTCTGCATTGGAGGACTGAGGGTATGGTAGGCAGAGTAATACTCCCCCCACTCAAAAGATGTCATATCCTAACCCCTGCCACCTGTGAATGTTACCATAAATGCCAGCATGTACCTGTGGCTGACTTCAGGCTGTTGAGACTGAAGATGACCCTGGATTATCCCGCTGGCCAATGCAGTCACGGGGTCCTGCTGGCTTTGGGAATGGAGGCAGCGACAATGAGCCAATGGAAGCAGACAGCCTCTAGAAGCTGGACACGGCAAGGAAGCAGATTCTACTCTAGAGCCGTTAGGAGGAATGATGCCCTCCTGACACCTTGATTTTAGCCCAGGGAGACTTCTGATATCTGACCATTTAAGCCACTAAGTTTATGGCAATTTGTTACAGCAGCCATAGGAAACCAATACAGAGAGTTTTGGGTTTTCTGCATTTGCATTTTCAAAGTAAGCATGCATTATATAATCAGGAAAAAAACTGAATAATGAAAATCATAAATTTGTATAGGATGTTATAACTTACAAAGCACTTCCACATACATGATCTTACATACAAACATGTCTTGCGGTAGATTTGGGAGGCAGAAACTGAGGTGACTGCATCCATCTCAAATTCTTGCTGTCTGCCCCTGCAGCTTACCGTGCTGGCGTGGTAAGAGCAGAGGGACCAGGGTCCAAAGAAAGGTGGATAAAATAACAGTGGTGCGCCAAGGATAGGCCCACAATTATGAATGGGCTCCAGCCAAGAGTGTGGAAAATCCTGTCAGACCTGAGGAGATGAGAATGTGGTTCTAGGGTGGCACATGGAGGAACGGTTTGGGAAATGTAAGCTTTCAATATTGGAATCGTCTGGCAGGACCCAGGGTCTCTTGGGAATAAGAGGAAAAGGGCCAGTCCTGGGAAATGGAGCTGGTCGGAGCATAGTACAAACCACTCCTGCCAGTGCATGTAGGTCCAAGATCCCAGCATCCCAGGGACGGGGAAATTCCATGCAGGTACCTGGAACTACGAGGCAGCCAGGTTGGGGATCTGACTTCCCACGTGAGATGAAAGGAGGGGGCCTGCCTCCTGTTACTGCGAAGGGATCCACCCTTACACAAGGAGTGGCACACCTATTGCCAAACCCCGGTGTGTCCTGGATGTCAGTATCTAGTGGGTTCCAGGAGGGCCATGCAGCACCGACCAAAGGCCTTGAGGAGAGACTGACATGATCATTGAACCAATATTTTCCAAGAGCCTACTCCACTCCATGCTGGACGCCGAGGGGTTAGAGATTCAATAAGACATGTTCCCTGTCGTGTGGAAGCTGATTTCACATCCCTCATCCAATTTCATTTGATACACATGCACCCAATTGTTGTCGTCTTACTGGTTCTTGGGCATAAATGTTGCCTCCCTGAGATTTCTAAATCCTCTAGAAAGCCCTGGACCTTAAAAAATTTTTTTTTACCTCTTCATGATGTCTACCACAATGATAGTCAGTCATGTGATAGCCAGTTGATTGATAGACTTTTGAAAATTCTAGAAGATCCAGATCTGTTGAGCTTACTTATTCACTTCTGGGAAATTCTCAAAGAAAGAACAAGTGTTTATTGAGCATCTATTATACACAAGACATTATGGTAGGTGCTAGAGGGTTGCAATGATGCAAAAAGTGTCCTTGGTGCCTGCCCTTAGGGAGCTCGCAATCTATTTGGGGAGACAGACTTAAAAAGTGAATTACAAGAAAAAGCTTAAGTGACAACTACATAGGACAAT